TTTTTTTTTTTTTTTTCCCAAATCGGCAGCTGGTGGCCTTCCCAGCGTTATAAATAGGAAATACACAGGGCTAGGATGGGTCTATTTCAGCGTCCCAGAGAGAAGCCGAGGTTTTCATCCGCCCAAGCTCTCAGCGTGTCCTGAAAATGGTGCACTTATCTGCCTTCTAGGGGAACGGTGCGCGCGGAAGGTAAACTGTGTTGCCGGGCGCAGCTCGGGGAACGGTTTTCCCTGCTGCCGGGAACACGGATGTGAGGGCCTTCACGGAGTCACAAGACCGTGGCTCTCTGCTCCCACCCGCCCCATCTGCTGGAAAGGGATTTAGAGGCGGCAAAAGGCTGCCGGATAAACCTTCCAGGGAGACGGTTTATCCTGGGCGAAGGGGAGATGCGCGCACTCACCTCTGCAGCTGAGACAGCCTCTCCTCCTTACTGGCAAACAAAGGCGAGCCCTGCCCGGGTGCAGCTGGGCATCGCTCACGCTCCCCAGGCCTTCAGAGCCTGGGAGGAAGAGGATGCTCGCAGGGACGGCTTCTGCATCCGAGGAAGGTCACCCAGGGCGACGTGGCCAGCGCCCGCCAGCTCTTTTGTGCAGGGGTGGGTGGGGTGCAGGGTTAGCGGTGGGCTCCCCCTCGCGGGGCTGCGGCTGCGCCCGCTCTCATCGCCACCCGCCTGCGCGCCCTGCCTCGGAGGTAGCTGCTTCTTCCCAGCTCACGGCTGGCAGAGGCTCGGCTTCCCGAAGACAGTTAATTTATGCTGCTTTTGTGTGCAGGGAGGAGGGGGTGGGGGGTGGCGGCCTGACCGAAAGGCACAGCCCCCTGCCAGAATCCGGTCCTCTCCATTGGCTGACAGACAAGCATCTCCGAAAGCCACGCCAGGGGCAGAGGCAGAAATCATTTTCTGATGGCGCATCACAGATTTAAAAACAAAACAACGGACAAATAAATAAATAAATGGCGAGATGGCCTCATTCCTTAGAGAACGGGGGTGGGGAGGGCTGGGGAAGGTCCTCTGGGCACTTCTCCTTGCAAAGGGAGCAGGGGTGAGGGGTGGCATCCCCCCAAAAAAGTCTGTGCAGGCAAAGACATGACTGTCCCCAGGCCGGGTGCCATGGCTCACGTCTGTAATCCCACCACTTTGGGAGGCCGAGGAGGGAGGATCACCTGAGGACAGGAGTTCGATACCAGCCTGGCCAACATGGTGAAACCCCGTCTCTACTAAAAAGATAAAAATTAGCCGGGCGTGGTGGCGGACGCCTGTAATTCCAGCTACTCGGGAGGCTGAGGCGGGAGAATCGCTTGAACCTGGGAGGCGGAGGTTGCAGTGAGCCGAGATGGCGCCACTGCACTCCAGCCTGGGAGGCAGAGGGAGACTCTGTCTCAAAAAAAAAAAAAAAAAGAAAAGAAAGAAAGAAATGACTGTGCCCAGGTCACCATGTTGTGGGTCTATTAGATGGTCACTTACAGTGGATGGAGCCTCATGCCCGAAACAGGGCTGGGTGGCAGCCTGTTTATCAGGCACACTGGCTCTGCAAGGCTGCTGTGGGAACGGCGCCCCCTGCAGTTGTGCACCGGTGTGGCCTCGACCTGGAGGAATTCAAGGAGACAGTGAAGATGGTAGGGTGGAGAGTGCAGGCCCTGCAGTCAGACTGGAAGTGAGTTTGAACTCTAGCCCAGCCACTCTCCAGCTGGTGGACCAGTGGACGTGAGTGATCTTACCTGCGGGTCTCAGTTTTCCTCATCTGTGAAATGGAGCCACTATGGCTTTTTCACATTATGAGATAATGCATAGACAGCACTAAACACAGTGCTGGGGCACAAGAAAAGCTCTCTATGTGTTTGTTTCGCTCTGTTGCCCAGGCTGGAGTACAGTGGTGTGACCTCGGCTCACTGCAACCTCTGACTCCCAGGTTCCAGTGATTCTCCTGCCTCAGCCTCCAAAGTAGCTGGGATTACAGGTGCACACCACCACGCCTGGCTAATTTTTGTATTTTTAGCAGAGATGGGGTTTCGCCATGTTGGCCAGGCTGGTCTTGAACTCCTGACCTCAGGTGATCTGCCCACCTCGGCCTCCCAAACGGTTGGGATTACAGGCGTGAGCCACCGCGCCCGGCCAGAATATACATTTTCGAAGAGCAGAGGCTCAGTTGGTCTTATTCACTGCACATTCTCCGCACAAAGTAGCAACTCCTGGTGCAAAGCTGTTCAGGAAATGCAGGCAGAGTGCATGAAGGCTGGCTCCCTTCATGACATTCAATGACACCCCACCTAGGCTGTCAGCCTCACCCACTGCATGGGAGTCTGCACCCCTCCAAGGCATGAAGGCAACCTGCCCACAGCAGAGGCAGAAAGCCCCGTTGGGGAAACAGAGACCCCAGAGACTTTGGCATACAGCTGGGCTTCCCATCTCCTGGCTGGAGAAAGCGGAGGTCTTGTAAGAGACACTTGTGTTAACTGAGGGGTGGATTCGGTTAGTCCCTGTGCTGGGCACTGGGCACAAGATGTGAGTAATCCCCATTACTCACGGTCCTCTCCTTACTGGCAAACAAAGGCAAGCCCTGCCCGGGTGCAGCGGGCATCTCTCAGGCTCCCCAGGCCTCCAGAGCATTGGTGGAAGAGGATGCTGGTAGGGGTGGATTCTGCCTCTGAGGAAGGTTGCAAGTGCCTGCTACCTCTTTTGTGCATGGGTGGGGTGCGGAGTTAGTGATGGGCTCCCCTGCACGGGGCTGCGGCTGTGGCCCCTCTTGTCATCACCCGCCTGTGCGCCTTCCCTCTGAGGTATCTGCTTCTTCTCAGCTCACGGCCGGCAAAGGCGCAGCTTCCCTAAGACAGTTAATTCATGCTGTTTTGTGTGCAGGATTGGGAATTCTCTTAGAATGCCCATTCAGCTGAGGCCAGGCAGGTAGTCCCAGCACTTTGGGAGGCCACTCACACCTGTAATCCCAGCATTTTGGGAGGCCAAGGCGGGCGGATAACTTGACATTGGGAGTTTGAGACCAGCCTGGACAACATGCTGAAACGCTGTCTCTACTGAAAATACAAAACTTGGTCGGACGTGGTGGTGGGCACCTGTAATTCCAGCTACTTGAGAGACTGAGGCAGGAGAATCGCTTGAACCCGGTAGGTGGAGGTTGCAGTGAGCCCAGATCAAGCCACAGCACTCCAGGTGGGGTGACAGAGTGAGACTCCATCTCAAAAAACAAAACAAAACAAAAGAATTCCCATTCAGTTGAGAGAAACAGAATGGGACAAGAGTCTGGGCCGATCTAGAGACATCTTTGGAGTGGTGCAGGTTGGGGGACCCTTGGGGAGGTTTCCTGGTGGGGCACAGGGATGGTGACTGTATGAGTGAGACCCCTGAGGAGTGAGTGGAGTTAGATGAATAAAAAAGAGGGAGGGAGGCGTATTCTGGACAGACAGGCCTGCCCAGACTGGCATTTAAAGAGCCACAGCTCCTCCCTAGTCCACCAAGGCCATGGGAGCTGTCCATGGTGCTAGAGCCAACACCAAGAAGCCACAGCGTGTGACCTGAGCTCGGTTCCCTGTCTGTTTTTTTTTTTTCCCTTTGAGACAGAGTCTGGCTCTATCACCCAGGCTGGAGTACAGTGGTGCAATCTCGGCTCACTGCAACCTTCGCCTCCCGGGTTCAAGCGATTCTTCCGCCTCAGTCTCCCGAGTAGCTGGGATTACAGGCACCCACCACTACGCCAGGCTAATTTTTGTATTTTTAGTAGAAATGGTGTTTCACCATGTTGGCCAGCCTGGTCTCGAACTCCTGACCTCAGGTGATATGCCTACCTTGGTCTCCCAAAGTGCTAGGATTACAGGTGTCAGCCACTGCACCTGACCCTGTCTGTTTTCATTTAATTTAAAAATGGAAAATTTTTAATTTAGTTTAATTTTTTTGAGACAGGATCTTGCTCTGTAGCCCAGGCTGGAATACAGGAGTGTGGTCATGGCTTACTGCAGCCTCAGCCTCCTGGGCTCAAGCGATCCTCCTATCTCAGCCTCCCTAGTACTTGGAACTACAGGTGTATGCCATCACGCCTGGTTAATTTTTAAAATTTTTGTAGAGATGGGTCTTGCTATTTTGCCCAGGCACACGTACCACACCCAGTGGGTGTGGATATCTTTAGGAGCCATTATTGTGCTGGCCATCCCTGAGGAACTAGTTTGGAAAGGCACAAAAGGGCTAGATTTTGTAAGATCTCGAAACTTTTCTGAAGGTGAGCACGTAGAAAATGTTCTTGTGGGCTGGGTGCAGTGACTCACACCTGTAATCCCAGCACTTTCGGAAGCTGAGGCGGGTGGATCGCTTGAGGCCAGCAGTTTGAGACCAGCCTGGCCAACACGGCGAAACCCAGTCTCTACTAAAAATACAAAAATTAGCTAGGCGGGGTGGTGGTCCCTGTAATCCCAGCTACTTGGGAGGCTGAGGCAGGAGAATCACTTAAACCCAGGAGGCAGAGGTTGCAGTGAGCCGAGATTGTGCTACTGCACTCCAGTCTGGGTGACAAAGCAAGACTCTGTCTCAATCTAAAAAAACAAAAAACAAAAAACAAAAAAACCCACAAACATTTATATATATATATAAAATCTGCAGTCTTGGCTCTTTCTTTTCATTCTTTTAACATAACTATATATATACTATATAAATAATACTTTTATAACAATGCCCACATATACCCCCACAGCCACCCACCTGCACACACTCACACGCTACACATTTTTCTTTACCTGGTTATTAATACATCCTGGAGATCACTTCAACCAGCATCTAAAGCTAATCTTGATTCTGTTTTACAGCTGCATATACTAAATTCTACAGTTTCTTCAACCAGCCCATCTTATGGGTGGAGTTTGTGACGTTTCCAGACTTGTTTTTTACTTTGTTTTTAAGATAGGGTCTCACGATGTTGCCCAGGCTGGTGTCAAAACTCTTGGCCTCAAGCAATCCTCCCACCTTGGCCTCCCAAAATGCTGTGATTACAAGCATGAGCCACTGAAGCTGGCCTTAGTTTTCATTTTTGTTTTTGTTTTTGTTTGTCTGTTTGTTTGTTTGAGACAAGGTCTTGCTTTGTTGCCCAGACTGGAGTGCAGTGGCACAATCCCAGCTCACTGGAGCCTCAACCTCTGGGGTTTAAGTGATCCTCCCACCTCAGCCTCCCATGTAGCTGGGACCACAGGCGCACACCACCATACCCAGCTAATTTTCTTTTCTTTTCTTTCTTTTCTTTTCTTTTTTCTTTTCTTCTTTCTTTCTTTCTTCTTTCTTTCTTTCTTTCTCTCTCCCTCCCTCCCTCCCTCCCTCCCTCCCTCTTTCTTTCTTTCTTTCTTTCTTTCTTTCTTTCTTTCTTTCTTTCTTTCTTTCTTTCTTTCTTTCTTTTTACAAGAGCACA